CTTCTCTCCCCAGACCTGGCAGCTCAACATTTTCATTTTCCTTTTTTTTTTAAAGTAGGCTTTCCTGAATTTAGTTGTGTTTTTTTTTTTTTTTTTTTAAGTACTTCAGTCTATATTATAAAGATGAAAATTTACTTACAGGTCAAAGAATGTTCCGTAGGCTTTCACGTGACTATTGTGCTATAGGAGGGTGGGCATTAAGGTTTGTTTTTTTAATGGATTTTTTGGTTTCAACAGGTTCCTCAGTCTATAGCAATTCTGTTTGCACTGAAAGCCAACCATTCTTAGGTGCTATTTTGGAGGAGGAGGGAGAAGGTTGGAACTTCCTATATTCATTTTAGTTCAGCAATTTTATGTTGTTATGCAACTACATGGAAATCAAAAGCATAAACCCTCTGATCTTGAGAAACAGTAGCATGTGGAACACCGAGTATCATGAATATGGTCCCATTGGCATGAAGCTACTTATAGCAACAACTTCTGTGCATAGTAATCTTTTACCCAGTATGCCCCAAAGCAGTTATATATATATTTTTAGAACAAAAAATAGTGGTTCTCAAAACATAAATTCTTATTAGCCCAAGTAGTCTTTACTGATGGTCCACAAAGTGCTTTTCCTTTTTGAAAGCCCAGGTGTTAGGTAGGCAAGGTGATCCAGGAAAAGATCTTTCTTGCAGCAGACTACAGGATGAAAACATTGGAGAGCTGCTGGTAAATACAGCAACCAGTTGTATAGTTCCCAGCATGCAAGTGAAGACTTTAGAAATCTGGGTAATAAAGAACACCTAATATTTTGTTTTCTGTTAGGTTAGAAGAGTACCAGGCTCAAGTGGCCACCTCCATAAGACAGAAGATGGGGACTGGGAGTGGAGCGATGATGAAATGGATGAAAAGAGTGAGGAAGGCAAAGCAGCTGTTTCTCAGGAAAAGGTAATATTGATAGCAAGCTAACAAGCTGTGGGGTTCCTCTTATATTATTTTTAATTAATGTACAAAATTATAATTGCTCATATCTAACTATACTTATTTTACAGTCCCGAAGAGTTAGAGAGGAGGAAAATACAGAGGTAAATGATTTTTATTACTTTACTACTCCCAAATATTTTGATTAGGTCTGTTGATCTAATTTCTTATTTTATAAGAGTTGAGAGAAAACTTCAGGTGGTTTGATTCTTGTGTATTTAATGAGCAGTAGTTGAAAGAGTGAGGGTTACACAATTGGGCCTAGAGGAGTGATTCTCAACCAGGGTGCTGCAGCACCCTGGGGTTCCTTGAGATCCTTTCAAGGGTGACATGCCGTGTTAGCACTATTAGATTTGCAAACATGATTCACAAGATACCCAGACATTTCAAATAGGAATCCATAGTGTTAAAAACATTTTGACTTTCTGTGGGCTTTCTGAGTTCTTTGCAACAGCAACTGCTCTATTATTTTATCTATAGTCCAAAAAAAAAGTGAAAACTAAGAGCTTGCATTTTCCAAGAGGTGCCTTGAGTCTAAAAAGGTTAAGAACTACTGGCCTAGAGTGATGAACTTAGAGCCCTCACAGGATAAAAAAGGTAGGAAATTTAAAATAATTCTGTTCATGCTTTCTAACTTTGAAGTCTAGTGAAAAATACTGGTTATGATAAGGCAATTTGGTCATTTTTAAATGAGTTTTTTATAGCTGGATCACACTAATTACTACCTTTCTCTCAAAGTAATGATGACTGTTTCTTAGTAGTTGAAAGAGCTCCAAAGTTCTGATACAGGTTCTAAAGACAGAATTTTCTGTCTTTAGAATCTGTATCAGCTCAACGCATAGCTGGTAATTAAAATGCTTCATACCATATGCAATGCAATGGTTCAGTACATTGGTACAATAGATTAATTTAATTCAGCCACCCGTAAAAAGAAATAAATGTCACATTGAATTTCATTTCCTCAAGCTTGGAGACCAGGGAGCAATCCTCCTATATACAAATGGACTAAGATTTCTGGTTTAAGGCCAAAATGCTATTCAGATGCCTGTTTGAGTATGACACATCACCTGAAGCTACGGTTTCTCCAGTCCAAACTGATGAGTTGCACAGTCCTTCACGAAGGCTGACAGTCCTCAAAGATTTTGGCACCCTTTCTTGACAATTCAAAACCCGCTTCTTTCAAATTACTCTAGACTCTTTAAAAAACAGGTGGATATATTTCTTGCTGGGTCACTTGATTTCAGCTGACTTCCTGCCTATGGTGGTGGAGCTGGACTCGATCTCATGAGGTATCTTCCAGCCCCTAAAGTCTGAGAAATCTGTGAAATTATTCCTGTCTGAGCTCTGGAAAAGACACTTTATATGCCATGATCTTGTCCCTGTGGGAGCTGCTGATTAGGTTTGGAAATGCTTTGTGGGTTTATTCAGTAACCCCCTTGCTTTTCTCTGCTTTACGCTACTTGAGATTTACAGCAGTGGCCAAATGATTTACGATTCACTAAAGCTGTTTCTTTGCTCGAGATCAAGATTTCTGTCTCTTCAAAGTCTAGATTTGGTAGGACAAATGTCTGAAACATATAGCCCTCTCATGCAGATTCCTTACGTGACACATATAGGAACCAGTTTTTTAAATCTAGTAAGAAGGACTAGCTGTATAGTTTTCTTGAGGAGAAGCTTTAGTGTGTATATATCTATCTATAGATAGATATAGATTTAGATATAGAAATATAGATATGTGGCACAGTTGTGGCCCCTTAATATTAGGGGGAGATTTGTCCCAATAAATGTTTTGGATTATAAATGATCAACCAGTTGTGAAGTCTTTGGAGTCACCTGCATAGAAGGCTCTTTATACATTTAATGTGGTAAGACTTCCTCTATAATACCAAAGTGAAATGCACATTCAGAAATATGAAATGGCTGCACACCTGTTTCATGACTTGAAACTTTTTATTTACTCTTTGACATCTCTCTCTCCTTGCAGCACTGTCACATTTGGCTGGAGAGCTCTGCTGTTAAGGTTATTGACTGCTTTTTGTGAAAGTCTTGAAGCAGATTTTTCTTTTACTAATTGAGAAGTGATTGTTTTGGAGATTCTCTTGATCAGGGATCCATACAAGTAATATGGTAGAAAGGCATTCTTCCTTTGCACTTCTGAAACCAAAAGTTTCAAGGTGATATTTTTACAGAAATCAATCACATTTATTTTTAACAGCTAAGCTTTAAAGCCTAAGAGCCGGAACCAAATTACATAATTCACTTGTCTATTTTAGGTCTCTTCCAGATTCCAACATAGATCTAGGAAGTAGAGATGAATATCAGAGCAGTCATTCCATATACTAGTCATGCACTGGTGTGACCTTATGGCTTAATCAGTCTGCTCTGTGGCTATATATGGAATATTAAATGAATTTGTATCTCAAGTGTCTGAATCAGTCTGCAGAATGGTAGTAACTCAGAACAGTGAGAAAAGGGTAGCTTTGTTTGTGCTCCTTAAATGTTAGTTATGTTTTCGTTATTTTTTAGTTCAGAAATGTAGAATTGTCTCTTTCTGTGTACTGTGGAAGATTACATGGGCCAGAGTTTGAAGGCTTAGATTATGGGGAAGTTCTTAAAGCATACTATCCAAGCTACATGTTTATCAGTCATTATGGGGATATGCAGTCCCATTACTTTGAAATAATTCATCTGCTGAAAATGGGAAATTACATGTAGCAAAATAATACTATTAACACAATTTAGTTAAACTAAAGACTTCCTATTTGGCTTTTTGTGAAGGGTTCTTTAATTTAATTAATTTGCATTTAAAAAGTAGATTTGGACAAATCTTTGTATTGATGTGTTAAGATAACCTTGCATTGATGTGTTAAGATAATGACTCCTTTTCTACACCTCATATGTGTTTAATAAGCATGAGTTTAATTGAAGTCACTGTTGGGGAAAAAAAACCATTCATACATGTATTTTGGTAGTGTGTGGGTTTTTGAATCACTTCATAAAGACTTCATAATAATCTTTTAACAGATTACCATGAATGCTAATAATATCCCAGAACAGATACAGAATCTGTCTGTACAGGACCCTCAGGTACTGTCATTAGTTACAGTTTAGGATATTTTTTTCTTGAGATTTCAGGAACATAGAAATTGGGGGTGGTGTGGAAAGGATGATGTGAGGATGGAGAGATAAATCATGAATATGGATTCTGTATAAATATATGAAAAAGCCAGTGATTTCCATCACTGGTAGACTACCTGCAAACTCTCCACCTTAAGATGCAAGGGTGGCCACAAAACTAGATTAAAAATAAGAATTTACTGTGAGTAAGAATGAGAAATGTACTGAGAGTGAAAACTACTAAAATAAAATAAAAAGCCCAGCATTTTAACTGCATTACCCGAGTTTAATGGATTATCAGAATCTGATGCAGAGTGAAAACTCTTGTATCTGGTCCCGTAACTTAAGCTTTCTAATTTGTGGATTTGTTTTATTTATATACACAGACCACTTCACTGGTTTCGCTTGCATTTTACACATACAACACTATTAAAAGTGCTTAAAAAGGTGCTTGAGAGTCAGAGGGTATGTTTTAAATAATTTATGTTGACATCAAATCTCTAACATGGAAACTCGTTCAATGTTTCTCTTTGGCATGCATTGTAATAGTGTGCTACTTTTTTCCCTTAATAGTCCCAGCCTGATGTTAGTAATGAATATAGTGAAGTTCCATGTGCAGTGAATCTTGTTTTAAGATTAAGGTAAGAGATTCTTCTATTTACCTTAGCATTCCTTTTTAGTTGCTATGTTATTCCTGATCTCCCTCATTGCTTTCATAATATTAACATAAAATGAGTATTAACCTCTTTAATCTCCCAGTATGACCAGTATGAATAGTGTTCCCATGACTAATTGCTGTCTTTTAATTGCTTACTAAAATGGAAGAAAATGAAAAGTGAAATGTGAATGTAGCTTCAGGCTAAGTGTACCATTCATTAAGTATTTTCTTTCTTTTTATTTCGCATTGCAATGTAGGATCACAGTGAGAGATTTTTAATGAGTTTCTTTCACACTTCAACAGTCAGCCTCTGACAGAAATAAACCATGGCTGTATTACAAGTTGCCCGCTCAAAACATTTTTCATTGGCAGGTTTGATCAGCCACTGTGGAGAAATGACAGATATATTTTGAAAGAACATTCGGTCTTTTAGGAAATGGATACAAATGTGATGTCTGACTTCAATTTCATACAATAGAAGAAAGTCAGTTTACAACTCAATATTATATAGTAATTACTTAAGTATCTAGCTTTGTATTTGGAGAGAAAACAATTTTCTGTTTCTCCCTAAATCACTGATTTAGTTAGAGGGGAATATATTCTCTTCAGCTTGTCATTGAATCCTGTTTATGCAGATGAATAAGTTATGTCTTTCACAGGCATCCTAATCTTCTGCTTTGGGTAAGGTTAAAAATGTATGGTTATTATCACAAATACACAGCAAGTGCAAAAATAACCTCTAGGTTTGTTTGGGTTTTTTTATGGTGATTTTTCTCTTGGGTAAACATAGAACAGATATTTGAAAGGTGTATGATGCAATGTAAAATAAACTACTTCATATCCATTAAAGCAATGTAAAATAAACTACTTCATTAGAAATTGGCAAGCTGTGTGGAACTGGCACCTAAAGTTAATTGAGAAATCCACTGTTTTCCTCTTGTCATTCCTTTTCCAAAACCAACTTTTCATTCAACAAGAAATTGCCCAATCAGTGATGACTGGGTAGCATAAGAGTCCAATATTTTATTTGCAAATAGTTTTTCACATGACTTGAGATCAGTTCAGGTATTGCACAGATCTATCTGCAGTCTCATTGTAATAACTCTCTTTTTCTGCCATCCTTCTGTTTTCTTCAGACTCACTTGTTTGGTCTCTGTTTTAGATGATAGGTTCTTTGGGACTGTGGCTGTATCTTCCTACGTGTGCATGCAGCATAGAATAATATGGCCAAGAGCCTGATTGGGGCCTGTTACTATTTTATTAAAACATGTGGCTGACCATTTTAAGTAGGTCTACCACTTAATAGGAAGACAAAAACTAGTTTTAATGTTCTACTAATATAAAGTACTTTCTGAGAAACCAGGACAACAGATATTGTATGGTTGGGGGGTGGGGAGGAGGGACGAGATGTTGTCTTCATATCAAGAAAATGTGATACCAGCTGATGAAAAACAAGTTTTGCATATGTAGATCAGTTTTTTAAAAATAGGAACCCATTATGACTGATTTTTATTGGGCTAACTGAAACATTTTAAAGCTATAGTAAGGTTGGAGTGTTGCTGTAGCTGTGGTGGTCCAGGAAATAGGTGCAAAGCAAGGTTATTTGGTGCTATATTTTATTAGACCACTGTAGAGTTGGACAGGTGTTAGACAAGTTTTCAGTTGGCAAGTATTCTCCTTCAGGTCTTTAGAACCTTTTTTTTTTGTATCTGTATAGCTGTAAAGCCAGGTACCTTTGCTACCTGGAGCCCAATTGCACAGAACTCCATCAAAATCTCTAAAAACACCTTCTCTGTTTTGCTGCATAAGTATTGTGAATGTGAACTGAATGGCAGAACTGAAGATTTTAGCAACTTGCTATTTCATCCAGAATCTTTAGGGCTAAGTACAGACGGTCAAGAAGCCCGAGGCTGAATAGATTCAATCTTTGCAGATTAGTCTAAGCTGCAGAAAGGATGTAGATAAATTGGAGATAGTTCAGTGGAAGGTAACAAAAATGGTTAGGGACTGGGGCACGTGACTTCTGAGGACACCCTGAAGAAATGGCTTATTTAGTCTGGAGAAGACAAGACTGAGAAGGGATTTAATAGCAGCCTTTAGCTACCTAAAGGGTGGTTCCAAGGAGGATGTGGCCTGCCAGGCCATTCTGTCTGGCTCATGGAGCCCTTAAAAAAATTTAGAAAATTAAGATTTATCTGCCCCTGGCTGCCTGTCATGTGGCCCTTGTTGGCTTGCCAAACCTCAGTAAGCAGCCCTCCACCCAAAACAATTGCCTTCCCCTGCTACACTGTTCTCAGAGGTTGTAGATGAGAGAACAAGGAGCAATGGTTTCAAGTTGCAACAAGGCAAGTTTAGATCAGATATTAGTCAAAACTTTCTTACCAGGAGGGTAATAAAGTATTGGAACAGATTACCCAGCTAGATTGTGGAACCTCCATCCCTGTCTGACTTTCTGCCCCTGGGCCAGGGGGCTGAACTTGATGATCTTTGAGGTCCCTTTCAGCCTTAATGTCTATGAACTCTATGAAATCTGGGTAGGCAAACACTTGACTGGGATATAACCTAGTTGGGGATGGTCCTGCTTGGAGCAGGGGGTTTGACTAGGTCCCTTCCAATGTTAATTTTCTGTGATTCTATGATTCTAAATCTTAAAATAGCATGTTCTTCAAGCAGTCAAAATATTAAGTCCCCAAAAGGTACACAAAGTGCAGAATATAGCAAAGTTGGCGTTTTATTTGTAGTTTGCAACAAATGCTTCTCAAATTGCCTATTGCTTCTCCTGAATTTAGTTTTCACTATAAAAAGATGTCCTTGGTACTTGCTTGGAAAAAAAATGCAAATGCTTAGCGGTGGAATACACACAGGAATTAATTAGCTGTTTTCTCTCTTAGCAAGGCTCTTCTAAGTATCCATGCTATAGACAGACATATCACCACTTTGCTCCCTCTGCAACACAGTTCAATGTATGCTTTTTAGCATGGGTCTTTAAGCAAGCTTTGGAGGTCACAAAATAATGTGTTGTATTTTATTAGTTGTTCATGTCAGTGGAACTAAAGGAACATTCCAGATTGGTGGAAAAGTCTTGGTGTATCTTCTAGGTCAGATGTGTCGAACTCTCCCTGCCCTCTACACCGAATTTGGACCACAGAGATCTTTATGGGCTGGATCCAGATGCTATAATGGGGTTAGTGGCAGTTACAGGGATTACCACACCCGTCATTCACACACCCCACTGATGTGTGCCCAATGCGGGCATTGTGTCTTGAATTTCAGCAGTAGGCTTCACTTCTGCTTGTTGCGCCCCTGAATTCCCAGCTCCTCTATTAGCCTGACAGGCCACATGACACAGCTACCACAGCTGGATTTGGTCCATGGCCATAATTTTGACAACCTTGTCCAAGTAATATAATGTGGTACTTTTCCAGTTCTGTAAGGGTGGAAATAACAGACATTACCTGTACAGGATCAGGCCCCTCAAGCCCTAGGAGCCCCTGCCTGGCTTTTTCCCACCTCCAGAGACACTCAAGGCAAACTCCGGGGCATGTCTGTGATAGGCAGTCCCAGCCACAGAACTGCAGCCCACACTGGAGTGTTCCAGCTTTCCCTGCTTGAAGAAATGTGCCCCCAGACGATCTCTGAGTTTCTGGAGATCATCAGGGCCACTCCTGCAAACAGAGAAAGAACACACGGTCTGTTGTCCTGGAAGTTCAATAGGTTGGACAAAGAACAATGTGTTTCGCTGAATGAACTGGATCGGCTATGTCAGGACATTCTGGCACTGTTAATTCACTTGATTTGGCAATGTCCATTTCTAGCCTAAGATTTCTCAAGCTTGATCTGGGGTGGGCTGCTTGTATGGGAAATTTACACTTTACACCCAGCTTTCTAGTGTAGAGTGAGTTAAGGATGTTAATAGAAGATGCCATCTCTTGCATATCCTGTTCAATTCACAATTCTCAAATGCAAACAGTCTTTAAAGATCCCTTTGTAATTGTTTGGCCAGTTTCCAACTTGACTATCTGATTTTGTTTTTTGCTAACCTTGCTTCGTATTTAATTCTTTTTTAGAGAGTGCCATTGCTGCCCTGCCATGTGTGCAGCCCTCGACAGCTCACCAAAACTTGTTAAGTGGCCTGCCAGTCAAAATAGTTGCTCACCCCTGTTTTAACTGGAATAGATAGGATCATTCAATTATTCCACCTTTGCTTGAATTGAGTAGAAGCTGCAGCTGGACAGCTTCTGCCCCAGCACGTAGGACTCCAGGTCCCAGCTGCCTTCCACTCACTTGGCTGCCCAGTGTGATAAGCAGCCACCTGAGGGCAGCTAAGTTGGTGGTAGGAGGCCAGAAGCTGGGGCAGGAGCCACTGGGCTGTAGCTTTCTCCTTCCTGTCTGGGCATCTGCTGTCTGGCATGCATCTCCACAGCTTCCCTGTGCTGCTTGCTGCCCAGAGTGGTGCAGCAGGGGCAGGAAAAAGGAGGAGCAGCCACTGGATACAGGGGAAGCTGAGCAGTACCCAGGCGGCTGCACCTCGCTGGGAAGCTGTGTGTGCTGTGTGGGGCTGGGATGGTGTTGTCTGGCAGGCACAGGGAGGGTGCAGGCCAGAGCGTAGCAAAGCTCAAGCTGCGCCAGGCAGGAGTGGATGGGGCTTGGCCTCATGTGGAACACCATGGAGGCATCGAAGCCGTATACAGTCAACTGGTGGCCGCCTGCCTGTGGGCTGGATCCATTCAGTTGGTGGGCCAGATCCAGCCCACAGGTTGTATTTTACACACCCTTGAGTTAAACTGTTGTATGGTATTACTACATTTTACTCCTACCTCGAGCAGTGATACTTGAAGTGATTCTGTATAAAACTTGTAAAATGTTTTTCAGTCCTTTTGCATGAAATGTTTAATATATACCAGTGTTATTTTTAAAGTACAAATTGTATTCAGGAGACTATTCTGCAATCACCTGGGACATATTTGCTTCCAAAAGGCAGTT